GGTCAAAATAAAAGACAGATGCAGAGTAAAGGCTGCTCCCAAAGCTAGCACCCAGAAATTAAAAACTGGCTGAAAATAGAGATCGATTGGCATGCTGGGAGATTCAGAAAAATACCAGAGGGCCAGGGATTGCACAAGATGAGCTTTTATCCCATCACAAGGCCTTTTAATAAAATCACTATTCCAACCTGGCAGTAGTGGCACACGCTTTTAATCCCAGTACTCCAGCAGTGGCAGATGGATCTCTGTGAGTTGGAGGGCAGCCTGGTCTACAGAGCAAATTCCAGGACAGTTAAAGCTAAACAGAGAAACTTTCAAAAAAAAAAAGAAAGAAAGAAAAACACCATTCTAGGGATCAAACAGGGGTACACCTCCATCATGGAACATATATTTTTAATAATGAATGAAATCTGTAAAATTAGGTTTACCATAAAATCTAAGGTCATTATAATTCATGTATATATTCCATCACCACCACAGGGAAAGAAACAATTCTAATTTAGGGTAAATCCTTATAGCACATTGAAGTTAATTGCTCCACCAGTGTTTTCCCCAAACTACATTTGCTTAATAGATAAATTTTATTTTGTTGTTTTGTTTTCGGTTTTTCAAGACAGGGTTTCTCTGTATAGCTTTGTAGACCAGACTGACCTTGAACTCACAGAGATCCGCCTGCCTCTGCCTCCCAAGTTCTGGAATTAAATGCATGTGCCACCACCACCTGGTAGATAAATTTTATATATCTGAATTTACAAGATAAAGTTATTGAAGAAATTCTTAAATCTCTTAATGTATGGGAATTACATGAAGATTTAATTTGGAAAAAGGCCTTCACTGCTAAACTATATTTTCAGAACCAACATTCAAGAGACTACACAAAATGAGCCCTTCTTCTAGGCCCTTGATGAATGATATTTTGTATATGTAAAACTGGATATATTATGTAAAATTGGTAATGTGTTCAAGCTTAAATATGTGTATATAAATATATATTGCATGTGCACACACACATAAGCGTGTGTGTTTGTGTGTGTGTGTGTGTGTGTGCATAACAAGTAAAATAATAGTTATTTTGGGTCATACATGAGTAATGGCTATTTTATCTGACTTGGCCATGACTGCTGGGTTTGAATTACAGAGGTGTTTTTAGCCATGATCATGTCATACCTCCTCAAGATCTTCTACTTACCCAGATGTGGTGATGCACACCTGTAATTCCAACACTTGGGAAGCAAAGGAAGGAGGATCATTAGCTTGAGAACAGCCTAGTTTACATAATGAGATCCTGTCTCAGAAAACAAGGACACACAAACAAGAAATCCTTGACTCACTCCTCACAGATTCAAAATAAAATCTTAAGTCCTGTTAAGGGATAAGATCAGGTGCATTTTCTGACTCCCTCATCTTCTATCCTCTCCCCTTCAGTTACCCGCTCAGCCAAATAGACAACGTAGGTGCCCCAGCCACGTTAAGCACCCCTCAGTCCTTCACACTCTGTTACTGTGCCTCACCTCTTCCCCTGTACGTGGTCTTCTAATTGCGCTCCTGCTTCTACTCACAAGTCATCTCATCATGCTGGTCTTCCTGGCTCTCTCTGCCCTTGCTTCCATTGCTCCATTGTTTAAACTGGCATGTACCTGATGTGAATGTCATATCCGTATCCTGGTTAAAACACAGTACTGACCCACAAGGGCATGGCCCTTACCTCTATATTCTATGGAGTGCCTATAACTTAGTAGAAACTTAAGAGGTATTTGCTGAATAAATTAACAAATGGCTGTGACTCTGTTCCCTGATGTGACACCAATAGGCTATGTTAATGAACAGCTACAGGAAAACCTAGGCATCTGAGTGTTGAAGGATGTTCTAGTAATAGCAGTATGTGCCAGTCTGGCAGGGTTTTGAGATAACTTTCCACTCTTGTACCCCAAAATACTGTCTCTAAATTTCAGCAAAAGAATTGGAGTACTGTTTCAACCCATCTGCCTCAGAAGAGCCCTGTAGAAGACCAGTAGCTATAGCCTAAGTTTGTGATTGGTTGTGTTTGCATGTTCCAGACTTATTGTACTTACATCTTAATTAAAATATGAGTTTTGAACACATCTCAAGTCCTTCCTTCTTTCCTGTCCGCTTGTAGGTGTGGCTGTATTGGAAGGTCCCATGTATGCAGTAGGAGGGCATGATGGCTGGAGCTATCTGAATACAGTGGAGCGATGGGACCCTCAAGCTCGCCAGTGGAATTTTGTTGCCACTATGTCCACCCCCAGGAGCACAGTAGGTGTGGCAGTACTAAGTGGAAAGTAAGGAAATATTCGAAGTTCTATTTCAGTCACAATAAACACATTTATTATTGTATAGGGGAGCACTTGGAGCAAGCTAATGAAACCGTGCTCATAACTTCTGTCCATACTAGCCCTAATAGCTCGTTGCTAAGTTGAGCTTTCATTCTAATGTGTAGGGACCACACATTTCTAATCTGGGGTGAATGAATTTTATAAAAATGTCCCATATTAAATTGCACAGCAACAATCTGGTGGTTTAAATACCTTTGAAATTTATGCTCTTTTTAAAGTACTCCAGTGGGTTGAGAAGATGGTTGCAGTTAAAGTGTTTGCTGAATAAGCATGAGGACAAGAGTTGGGTCCCTAAAACCCATGCAAGTACCAGATGGGTATTGCAGTCCACCTGCCATTCCAGCCTGGAAAGGCAGAGACAGAGCATCACCAGAGTAAGGGGCCTAGCAAGGCTGGCCATATCCAGAAGCTCTGGGTTTGATTGAGAGACCTGCCTTGGTGTGGATAAGGTTGAAGAGCCATGGAGGAGGATGATACCTGACATCAACCTCAGGCTCCACATGCACACACATGCACATATATGTGCACCCACAAACCTGTGTGCCCACACACACACATACGAAAAGATGCATATCTACGTATATGAAAAATGGAAAACTTGATATATAAATTTAAAAATTAAAGTGCTATGACCTCTCGATGCTTCCCTGAAAAATTTTCTCCATCATTTTCATTGCATGATCTTTACTTTTGTGCCTCTTCTTTCTTAACCTGGTAGACTGGTGACCTCAGCATGGATTTAAGAAAAGGTGCTTGCTTACCCTTTGCCTGCTGTAAATAAACAGATTTATCCAGAGCCTCACAGCTCCCAATTATATAAGGACAAATACAAACCTTTTTAATCCTTTCTTCCACCATAAAATAAATCCCTTGATGGTTTTGAATTAATTTCTTTGTTTCCTTGCTTCAGTGATAACACTTACAGAGAAAGGGAGGAGGGAGGGTTAGGACAGACTGAAAAGGTATTTGTAGAATTGTGATATAAGAAAAATAAGATGATGGGTAGAGTGGTGCTGCGGAAAAAGAGGCAGAACTCCAAGTTTGAAGCAACTTTGAAGTTGAAGCAAATTTGGTCTACATAGCGAGCTCTAGGCCAGCCAAGACTGCAAAACAAGACCCTTGCTCAAAAATCCAAAACAAAAAACTTAGAAAATATTAATAAATATTTTTCTCTTTATGCCTAAGCTCTTATTTCCTCAGGACCCATTTGTTTTGTGGTACTGTTGTAAGTGCCTCATGGGCAAAGAAGTGGAGATCAGTTTTTAGATGGATATCATCTAATTGGTAGCCTATCTTCTTTCTTAACGTTACATAACTTCAACATGCTGCGTCACCAATGGCACCTTAAATTCAATGAACTGTCATCGGAATAGCCTTTTTGTGGTAAGCCTGGCCACAGCTCTGTTTCCTAGTTGCCATTCCATCTGTTCTGTTTTACAGACTTTATGCAGTTGGTGGTCGCGATGGGAGTTCTTGTCTCAAGTCAGTAGAATGCTTTGATCCTCACACTAATAAATGGACACCGTGTGCCCAGATGTCAAAAAGGAGAGGTGGCGTAGGAGTGACAACATGGAACGGACTGCTGTATGCTATTGGAGGACACGATGCTCCCACATCCAACTTGACTTCCAGACTTTCAGACTGTGTGGAGAGGTAATTTCCTGTGACGGAAAACTAAGAACAAACAAACAAAAATAAGTTTCTCACACTTCCAGGCAAAGTAACAAGTCTGTGCTGAGCATCCATCCCATGCAGTGTGGTCTCTATGCAGTTCTGCTGACACTGGGTTCTCTCTCTGGCTTTCTTTCTACCTGCCTCCCAAATGCCTTCTTGGATTGGGATCAAGCACACAATGCGTCCAGTGAGACAAGCAATTAGTGTAGCTGTTTTGTACTGGACTCTGAACCTTACCACTAAAGCAAAGGAGTTTGAATCTCAGAAAGAATGAGTTAGGGGCTGGAAGCCACATAAGAGGTAGAAAGGAAAAGGACATATATAGCCCATTTAGATGTACAATGAAATAACTAAAAATGATAAAGTAAAATGAAAAGATCTTAAGGGCTTCACCATGTCATCCATAGTGGTTGTAAGAAACTCAGCTTTTAGGTCAGGTAGAGAAACTACTAGCAGTGAAGATTTGGGTGGCAGGCTGGGTCTTCATATAATATTTTTTGTTTAGTTGAAGGATAAGAGAGAATTGAATGCATTGTAGAGGAAGAATCACCAGAAATCATGTGTGGGCACTCCAAAACAGGAAAGCATATGGTTCACGTGGGAAATGAAGGGCTACTGTGTGGCCAGAGAGCAGAGTGGTGGCAGAGTACCAGGAGAGGGGACAGACTACATGGAAAGGGTCACACAGAATGCTGGGGACTTAGTAACAATTTTAGGTTTTAAAAGGGAATAGGAGATGGGCGTGGAGGTACACGTCTTTAATCCCAGCACTCCAGAAGCAGAGACAGGTGGATCTCTGTGAGTTCAAGGCCAGCCTGGTCTACAGAGTGAGTTCCAGGACAGTCAAGGCTGCACAGAGAAACTCTGTCTCAAAAAAAGAAAGAAAGAGAGGGGAGAGGGAGGGAAGAAGGAAGGAAGGAAGGAAGGAAGGAAGGAAGGAAGAAAGGAAGGAAAGAAGAAAGGAAGGAAGGAAGGAAGGAGTATGAGGGGCTGGAGAGGTGGCTCAATCGTTAAGAGCACCAGCTTCTCTTCCAGAGTCCTAAGTTCAATTCCTAGCACCCACATGGCAGCTCATAATTGTCTATAATTTTAGTCCCTTGTAATCCAATATCCTCTTCTGGTGTGCAGACATACAGACAGACAAATGCACATATACACAAATATATGAATAAATAAATCTTTAAAGAAGAATATGACATCAGTGAGTGCCAGAAAGGGCAAATGGATCCACTCTTTAAAGGTTATAATTATTCACTTAGTAAACTGTAAATGATAAGAGGGCTGGCCAGACTTAAAGTTCAGGCTTGCTGGTCTCTTTCTCTAAAATATGTTCAATATATTTATATCACAGATAAGGCAGAAGATAGACTTGAAGGGCAAATATTTTTACACAAATATTTCAAGAGCAATGTCAGCTCCAGTTGTAAAATTTTCTTTCAGATATGATCCCAAAACAGACATGTGGACTGCAGTGGCATCCATGAGCATTAGCAGAGATGCAGTGGGGGTCTGTTTACTTGGTGACAAACTGTATGCTGTTGGGGGTTACGATGGACAGACCTACCTGAACATAGTGGAGGCTTATGACCCCCAAACAAATGAATGGACCCAGGTATGCCATTTCGTTTTTCATTATCTCACTTCTCTTGTATTGTGAAAACAACTCTTTTGATAAGACCCTCTTGACTTTATCCAGCATTGACATACTTCACACAAATGTGGGGGTTGGAGAGATGACTCGAGTATTTGCTGCTTTTGCAAAGGACCCAAGTTTGATTCCCAGCCCTTGAATGGAGGCTCACAACATCCTCTAACTCCAGTTCCAGTGGATCTGGTGCCCTCTTCTGGATTCTAAGAGAACTGTACACACTCATTGTATGTACATATACATACAATCAGGCAAACACTCATACACATAAAATAAAAATAAAGCAATATTTTTAAGGAAATAAAGTTGCCTCTTGATTAAATATGAAAAAAAGAAGCAGTGTCTGATTTTATGACAAAATCCAAATTCCTTTGAACTATAAATTAATATTCAGATAAATTATTAACCACCATTCATTTGAAGAAATGTTCTAGAAATGTTCTATCGGTGGTAGAGCGGATAGACTGCAGGAGGGCTATACCAAAGGGACGAGGATTCTGTAGAAAATAAGCAAGGATAGTAGTCAGAAATATTTGAACAGCTTACCCATATATGAGTAATAATTTTTAAATACTCAATATTTTGGAAGCATGTTAAGTTTCTGGCTATAATCTAATAAACATGACAAACCTAAATTACATTAACAAGTTTGAAACTCAATGTGGTGAGCTTATTAATAAAAACTTCTTGCTAACCACATCTCATTCTGGAAAAGCCACATCCTTTAGGAGAAGCATGGTGTCAGAAACACTAAGCAGCTGGTCACATCGTGTCTGCAATCAGGAATTATAGAGCAACAAATATCCATGCCTGTTTTAGTCAGTGTTCTATTGCTTGGAGACACCATTTCCAAGGCAAACTTATAAAATAAAGCACTTAATTGGGGCCTTACTTAACAGTTTCAGAGGGCTAGTCCTTTATCATCATGATGGGAAGCAGCATCTCTTTCTCTAAAATGTGTTCAATATATTTATATTACAGATAAGGCAGAAGATAGACTTGAAGGGCAAATATTTTTACACAAAATATTTCAAGAGCAATGTCAGCTCCAGTTGTATGGCCCTGGAGCTGAGACAGAGAGAGAGAGACAGGGACAGAGAGAGAGAGAGAGAGAGACTGGGACTGGTGTGAGCTTTTGGAACCTCAAAGCCCACTCCCAGTGACATACCTCCTCCAAGATCACAGCTATTTCAATAAGGACACACCTCCTAATCCTTCCAAACAGTTTCTCAACTGGGGACCATGCATGCAAATATATGAGGGGCAACTCTTAGTCAATGCTCCACTCTTTCTCCTTTTTAATTCAGTCCAGGACCCAAGCCTACGGGAATGAGCCCTCCCATGTTCGGGGTGGGTCATTCCCTCCTAATTAAGTCTCTGGAAATGCCCCCCAGACACACGCAGAGTGTTGCCTACATGATTCTAAAATTAGCAAAATTAACGATGAAGATTAACCACAAAGCAACTTGGGGGAAGGGTGACAGTGATAGTATAAAAAGGGAGCTTAAGTTTGGAAAAGATAGCATAGAATAAGAGGATTTCTGTTATATGGTTTCAGTAAATGAAATGACTCAGTAGAAGGTATAAAAAGTAAGTGTCAGTCACACAGATGTCATGTTTATGGCCAATTTTTATTTGTGTATATAGGCTGTCTCTCCCTAAGGTGGGGTTTAAGAGATCAGGTTTGGACATATGTAAGATAAGTGTTTTTATAGTTCAAGAGTAGAGGTTTTCCAAATGAGAGATTTGGCCAGCAAACAGGCAGAGCGACAGAGGAAGAACAAAAGCATAACAAATTAGTCACAACAGCCTCCTGAAACAAAGACATGGTTGGAAGGTGGTTAAAACAGGGTGGTCATAGCTTTTTGAAACAAGGGTATAGTTGCAAGGTGATCATAACAACCTCCTGAAACAAAGGCATGGTTGCCATTTCCTGGAACTATTTATAGTTAAGGTTATAGGTGGGGCATAGGCAAATCCCTAGAAATAGAGACTTAATCATCATGAACTTAGTTTGCCTTTACTATAAATCAGTAATCTGTAGCCACATAGCTGTCTTGTTTAGATACTACTAGTTATGTTGCTTTTTAAGCACTTAAAATACGAGCTTAGACTTGTAATGCCTGAAAAATAACTGCTTTTGCTTTGGTACATTAACAAATGGATAAAAATACATTTATAGAGGGGCTGAAATGAGATTGCAAAGTCCCCAGTCATTGTCCACCCCACTGCCAGCGTTGTCCCAAAGCAGGAAGCGGTTGTATATTTACCATGTTGTCTAAGCTAGACTGTATCCAGTTGTCACGTCACTCACCTTTCACACTGGACACTTAGATGATCCATATCTGTGTCTCTTGCTTCTTTTTCAGGTTGCTCCACTGTGCCTAGGAAGAGCTGGAGCATGTGTTGTGACTGTGAAGATATAACTTTATGCTTTGTTCTCTAAATGACGATGCCCTCCCTCTCCCTTTATTAATATAAGGGCAGTCCTATCAGCGGATTCATTTTTAATGAACATTCGATGCCACATTCCTAGGCACAAAGTGCCTCATTTCAAAATGAAGATGTTGAAACAATGGAGGAAGGAATGGATGGACCAGGATGAGATACTTCGTTCGTCTCTTAGTAAACTAAAGCTGCAGCTAGCAGACTGAAACTATACCTGTCTGAAATGCAATATGAAGGCAAGTGCACTGCTCTACAACAATCCAGCACTAACTGGGAACTTCATCTATTTTTAGTCAGGCACATTTTATTCACATTGTCCAGAGTTATTACAGTACAAACATATAAACTTCCAAAATACTACTTTATAAGTTTGTCATAATGAGCTTCCATACTTTTTATTATTTAATCAAACCACTATTTTAATGACATACTAAAGACTATGCTGTCTGGTTTTTTCAGGTACAATGATATTAAATATGCTCTAGTTGTGAATTTTATTACTAAAATTGGTTTAACCCAAGAATAAAGAAAAACACTTAAAGCATTAAAAAAATAAGACTGACCAAATAAAAACTTGATAGGATCTCTAGGTCCTACTTAAATAGCCATTCCATCCCATCTAGATCCACGGAGAACTGTGTGATAGGCTATGACCGAAATTAAAGCGGGATGCTTTACATTAAGATATGCAAGTTTATGTAGAGAAAACAAATACTATAGACTCTATAATGTTCTTCCACCTAACTAGTATTTAATTATGTGGATTTCTTTTATACTACAAAAGATTGTTTGAGTTTGTCTTTTTGATACTGATGCAATTGTTTGGCTGTTCTTACATTCTGTCTGCTGCTGCCTGTTGTCTCACATTTTGACCCATTGTGTTAAGAACCTATTGTGCTCCTTTGTAATCAAAAAATTGGGGGGGATGCTAATTGAATATTTGAAAAATAAGTATAAAGTGTTTGTTACTCAAAATTTTATACATTTGTAAATTCTAATTACATATGTGAATGTTAATAGTCCCAGTGAATTGTTTATTGTTTGTAAATGCCCCGGGCAGTAATATTGTATGAAACTTTCTTTAAGGTAGAAGACATTACCTTAATATAAAATAGATGTAAACTAAAGTCTGCTCTCTCAAAGTACAGTGTTATGCTTAATATATTCTTATTTATATTAGGACAGCCTTTATTTTAGTTGCTTTCTTTAAAAAGTGAAACACAATCCCTTTTTATTGAAATGACTTTGGTTTTTTGGTTTTGGTTTTGTTCTCTGAGACAGGGGCTCACTATGTAGCCCTGGCTGTCCTAGAACCCACTATACAGACCAGATTGGCCTTGAACTCACAGAGATCCCCTGCTTCTGCCTCCTGAGTGCTGGGATTAAAGGCGTGCACCTCCATGCCCACCTGGTTCCTTAATATTTAAGGAAAAGCTTATTTGAATTATTCCTAGAATTGTATATACATTTTACTTTAGGAAACTAAATGTTTAAAGCGTAACATCTCAAACATCTTAATATTGAATTGCATCATACCTTGACTGACTGGAAACAAATGTATTAAAAATAAGCATTAATTCCAAAAAATTATATAACCTAGACTAGATGGGTAAATTCCTAGTTACATACAAATTATAAAAACTGACTCAAAAAGTAAAAAAATCTATGCAGATCTGTAACAAGTAAAGAGCTCAAGTAACTAAAGAAGTAGGAGGGGAAATTATTGTTTTAATTGATTTTTAAAGTATTTAATAAAATACAATAGCCTTTCATGGTTTAAAAAAAATCGGAAGTGGAGACTTCCCTTAACCTGCTAAAAGGCTTTTCTGAAAACCCACAGCTGACAGCACAATGAAAGAGTGAGACCTTCACCTGTGTGGTCAAGGAAATGGTTCATCTGTGCAGCTGTCCAACACTGAACTAGAGTTCCAGCCAGAGAAATTAGAAAAAGAGAGAGAGAAATAGGGAATTCAGATTTTAATAAAAACCTATATTAACAGACAATATAATCCTACACTTTAAAAAGACTAAAGAATCCACCACAAAACAAAAAAGCAACTAGCTAACTAAAGTTTCAGAAATGTTGCTGTGTGTGAGATCTCAGAAAGCCAGTTGTTTCTGTACACTAACGAAGGGCAGTGGGAGACGATGAAGGAGGCAATGCCATTTATAACATGGGGAAAATGGAACACTTAGAATCAATTTACCAAGGAGGTGGTGTATGCAGATGATCTATCTGTGTGTTGCTGAAATGGAGAAGATGTAAATACTCAGAAGGTATCCTTTGTTCAGGGTTGGAAATGTGTGGAGATGACACCACCCCACCACCGTGGGCACACTCCCTACAAGACCCTGAATAAACTTCTTGCTGGATTGAGAAAGTTAGTCCTAAAATGCATATGGAATTGTAAGAGACCCCAAAGGATCCATAAAACAAGCATGCTTAATAATGGGGAAGTGAGTAGCCCTGTGGTGGTAGAGCACACCTTTAATCCCAGCACTGGGGAGGCAGAGGCAGGTGGATCTCTGTGGGTTCAAGGCCAACCTGGTCTACCCAGAGAAACCATGTTTTGAAAAATCCAAAACAACAACAACAATAATAATAATAATAAGGAAGTGAGGGGGCCACAGATTTCCTTATTTTTTCCGGGGGGGGCAAGGCTACATTAAGCAAAACAGTGTGATACTGTACATAAATAAACACACAGACCATAGGATGGGATAAAATGTCCAGAAGTAACTTGGGAAAGTGTACTAGATATGCTGATTTCCAGCAAGGATGCCAAAGCATTTGGGAAAAATATCCACATGGAAAAGAATAGAGTTCAGCCCTTCACACTGTGTGGAAGTTAATACAATGTAGATCAAAAATCTAAATGTAGGAATTAAAACCACAGTGCTGAGAAGGAAACATATACCCTTGGTAACTTTGGACTTAGGTATTGTTTCCTGGATATGACACTAAAACCACAAGCAATAAAAATAAATTGGACCTTAGTTTCAGTCCCCAGGAGCCACGTTTTCATGAGCAGACATGACTGTAACCCCAGAAACTAGAGCGCAGATACAGGCAGATCCCAGGAGTTCTCAGGCCATGAGCCAAGCACAAAGCAACTTCCAGTCAAGTGAGAGGCCCTGTCTCAAGAGAATAGAAAACACCGGATGCCCAGCTCAGACATGCCCGCAACTGCACACACAAAGTGAAAAGACAACTTAGGATGGGGGAAAAAAAATCATTGCAAATTATATATCGGGTAAGGGACTGGAATTCAGACTATAAAAGGAATTCAGACATTCAATACCAAAAAGACGATCCAGTCAGAAATGAGCAAAGGATGTAAGTAGAGGTCCAAGAAAGCGATACAAATAACAAGCACATAAGAAGATGATTACCATCACTGGTCATTATGCAAATCCACAGGGCTATGAGATACCACTTCACTCCCACTAGAATGGCTAATTTTAAAAGCAGAAAATGAGTCCTGGAGCAGACATGGAGAAATCGTTCACTGTGGGCATGTAAAATGGTGCAGCTGCGGAGACAGCTTGCTGCGCGATTTGCGTGACCCAGCACTCCCACTCCTGGCTGTCCACCAAAAACTGAAAACCTGTTCAAACAAAAGTCTGCATACAGAAATATTCACAGCAACTGTAGCAACTGAAAGGTGGAGGTGGCCCAAGTGTCCACCAGGTTGAACACTGTGCACATGCAAGGTGATGTATCCAGCCAGAGAGAAATGGAGCGCTCATGCACGCTACAACTCAGATGAACTGCGAAGCATTTGCAGTTCGCTGAGTGGAAGACGCCAGACGGAAGAGGCTGCGGGGTGGATGAGATGTCTGAGATTGACAAAAGCATACAAAAGACAAAAGTGTGATCAGAGACTGTGAGGGACAGTGGGATATGGATGCTTGATGAGTAAGGAGTTTCCTTTGGGGAATGAACGTTCTGGGACTACTTTCTGGTGATAGTTTCACAATGGTGAGGGTACAAAGTGTCACTAGTGGTAAACTTTATGCACATCTTACCACAGTTCATTTTTAAAAGCTTTATTAGAAAGCTGGCATATATGCCATTAATCCCAGCACTCAGGAGGCCCAGGATCTGTCAATTTAAGACCAGCCTGGTCTGCACAGTGAGTTCTAGGACAGCCAGGGACATTGCTGAGACCCTGTCTGAAACAATAAATAAATGGCTTTATTAAACACAATATTTTGAACTGTCATAAGAATACACATTACTGGGATTAAAATTCTGGATTTATAAGCATCCCAAAGACAATTTTTTAGATGCAGTTTTTAAGTAAATTTTAGAACTCTGACAGGAAGAAAAGCTCATTAGCTGTTTATCTTGTTAGTCCAAGAAGAGAACGAGGTAGAAGTTTGGCTGGGAGCATAATGACGACTTGACCCCTGCCTTCTGTCCCCTGACCCAGGCTGATAACTTCCTCTGGGCTAATGAGGCCTAGCCTGGACTGGGGAGTGTGGGAAACATTGGATACTTTGATTGCTTTGATTTGTGGAGACTAAACTACCCTTGTGTTATTTTAAATGGTTTTTAGATTATTGTGGTAGTATTGCTTGTTATAATAAGTTTGTGCCCAAAACATAACATGCAGGCTGTTCAGTTCTGACATGGAGCAGTTTATCTCAGTACACTGCTCGAAAGCCGGTTGGGTGGCTTAGTATTTCTACTTTTGGATAAACTCTGCTCAGCAGAGGTCTATTGCCACTCTGTGAGGGCAGTAGCATGTTTGTGTGTGAGTGTGTGTGTGTGTGTGTGTGTGTGTGTGCGCATGCGTGCGCGCACGCGCGTGAGTGTGCGCAGGTGTACCCATACACACACAGAGGCCAGATGTCTTCCTCACTTCGTCTCCATCCTAGTCTCTCACTAAACCTTGAGCTCAACAATTTGTCTAGCCAGCAAGCTCTGGGGACCTTCCTGCCTCTACCTCCTCAGCTGGCTGCTGTGCCTGGCTTTTCTTGTTGGCACTGGGGATCCAAACTCAGGTGCTTATACTTAGAAAGCAAGCACTTTACCAACTGTGTCATCTCTGGTGCTACTGCCATTTTTTAGTAAAAGATGACTTTAAGATTTCAACTCAGAGCCAGAGGCAGAGGGTAGGCAGATCTCTGTGTTCAAGGTCAGCCTGGTCTACAGAGAGGATTCCAGGACAGCCAGGGCTACACAGAGAAAGCATTTCTCATGGGGGAAAAAAGAATTCAACTAAGCAACTGTTTGAAATTAAGACCTCAGCTAAACTTTGTAAATGACTCTCTTTAAAGTGACACATTTTATAAATATATAATAAGCTGAGTTCAGCAAAGGTGTGGATGGAGTCGGGTTTACAGACAGCCACATCCTTGCTCCAAGGCAGCTGGAGTGATGAGGTTAGGGAGAAGCTGCTGTGCAGAAAGCTGTCTCTGGGCAACCACAAGAATAGCTGTTGCCATGTGAGAATGTCAGAGAGAAAAACACCAGATAACAGGTTTGGCAAAGCTGACCTACTTACTTGATTGTGTATCAGAAACTCAGTGGAAAAGCTGCAGAGGACATGAGGGAAGGGATTAATCCAACAGAGAAAGTCCTGTACCTCAGAAACTTTCTAATCAATAGGACTGCTTTGTGCATCAACTTGACACAAGCTAGAGTCCCCAGAGGAAGGAGCCTCAGTTGAGGAAATGCCTCAATGAGATTCAGCTGTAAGGCATGTTCTCATTTAGTGATCAATGGAAGCAGAGCTCAGACCATGGTGGGTGGTGCCATGCCTGGGCTGCTGCTCCTGGGCTCTATAAGAAAGCAGGCTGAGCAAGCCATGGGAAGCAAGCCAGTAAGCAGCACTCCTCCATGGCCTCTGCATCAGCTCCTGCTTCCAGGATCCTGTCCTGTTTGAGTTCCTATCCTTAGTTCCTTCAGTGATGAAGAGCAACGCTGAAGTGTAAGCCTAATAAACCCTTTCCTTCCCAACTTGCTTTTTGGTTATGGTGTTCTCGTCAAAGCAATAGAAACCCTAAGACAGACTCTAGGCAAAAAGCTAGGAGGCTAACATCTTACACTCAAATAGATCCTAAAGAAAAGGAGGGGACCACGTTAGTTCCCTCAGAGCTTACAAGAGTATGTTTTATATTTATTTTTATTTAG